CCCCAAAACCCCAAAACCCCAAAACCCCAAAACCCCATACTTTATAAATTTAATTGAAAAAGCGGGAAAATGGAGCAAAGAGAAATCTCTGAATTTGAATTCCACAGCGAGGATGGTAGCATCAAACCCGAGAATGAAAGCAAGGATTACAGCATAGAAGGTAAGCCCTGGTTCTGACCTAGTCTAGTCGTCTCAGAGATCATTGAAAATAGTAGCTATGAGTCAGATGAAAATAAGGAGCAATTTGAACAAGTCGGTAAGCAAAGTTCTCAAATTTACTACTTCAACCCAAAAATGAGCCTCATGAATTTTATAGAAAGTGATAACTCTGAAGAACAGATGTTAGTACAAGAGGAAGATTCAGTGTTAGAGAAGTTCATAACCAAGCGCTCTCCTAAGAAATTTGAGATGCCTGAGGCTCATATTACTGGAGCTGATCCTTACAGAGCTGGGAATGCTGAAAATAGACAGGTAAGCTTTTATTACCTGTATAAAGTCCCTCCTTGGTTAGAATAAAGAAATTTCTACTGAAAAGACTTTCATTGATGTTAAAATTTCTCCGACCCAATTATTAGACTTCAGAAGCTAAAACCTTGATTTAGGCTGAAAATATGAGACTTAAAGTCACCACTGATTGAAACATGGATTCTGTTGCTGGGAATTTGAGCCAAGAAGATCGTCCTGAGGAAGAAATGAAGGGCACTACGCCTCAAGAGAATGCCTCCAGCCATCCTAACAGATGGATAATTCACTCTAGTAAGGTCATTGTCTGCTCATCAGGCTTTAATCCTGAGAAGAAAGAGTATATCAAGGCAATGGTAGAGAAACTTGGCGGCACCTATACTTATGACTTTACTGAAGAAGTAACAGTGCTAATCACAATAGACAATAATAGTGATAAATACAGAATTGCTCGTGAGGAAACTAAGATTTATACAGTGACTGCAAAATGGCTTAAGGATAGTGAAACCCATGATTACTTCCTCAAGCCAGATGATTACCTGTTTCCACTATTTTATAATAGAATTTTCCATTTTTATAACTGAGAAACTCGTGAATTCCGTGAAAAGGTTAAAGAACACCGGGGGAAAATCGAGGTTGACATTAATGCTTCGATTGCATCGGACCTGACCATTGTAATTCCTAACCAAGACATCTCGGAGTATGTAAAGGAACTACGGAGAGAGTACAGTTTCTTCTCAAAAACATTTGACGAGAAAACACTTAAACTTGTTACCTTGCCTTGGGTTGATTCATACATCAATAATGATGGAGAGTTCAAAAATCATGTAGTTGAGCCTGAGAATTACCCCCAGACTTCAGTTCTTGCGCCTAAGACGATTCATCACAGAGAAAGAGTAATTGAGAATTCCAAGACCAACATTGAGGAGACTAGAACCTTGAAGAACTATATCAAAGCCCAGGAGATCAATATTGAGGAACATATCAGCAAGCTTAGAAATAATCCTGACCCTCAGATGAGTTTCTTCCTCATGGATGCTAACATCAGTATGCATAATGTCTTTGAGAAGGACGACAAAACTGAAATCTTCAGGCTGATCAATGTCTGAGGAGCTTTCTGCTACGAGTCATTCATTCCAGGAATCACCAGTCATATAATCACTCAGCATCCTGATAGAGAGCTGATCGGAAAGGCAGGCTCGGTTGACAACTCTTATGGTCCATTTGTTGTGACCAAACAATGGCTGATCGACTCCATTATTTCAGGGAAGAGAGCTGATGAGAGAAAATACTTGCCTCCAAGTATTGAGAAGGTGAACAGCACCCCAGAGATCAAGGTTCTTCAAAAGAGAGATTCCCGAAAAGCTATTGGCAAGCTCTTTAGAGGTACCCGTTTTTGCATACTGCATGACTCCTATACTCATGAGGAAGCTGAAGAGATCAAACAGAAGATTGAAGAAAATCAAGGAAGCATTATCAGTGAATACGTAGAAGGGAGCATTGCAAAATACATCATTGTCAATGATGGCCACCATTCCTTCAAAGGCTTTAAACCTGAAAAGGACGAGGATGGCAAATACACTGTTAGCCACAGGTTTATAGATAGGTGATTGAGGAATAAGAAAATCATTAGTATCAGCAGAATGAAGGCTCTAGATCTCCTGCCATTCCCTCATACATTGCCATACGAAGAAGTTTCAAATCTCTGTGTCGCCTTTACTTTATTCCCAAAGAACAAAGATCTCGTCGTCTTGGAAGAAATGGCTAAGCTGATGGGCATGAAAGTTGAATTCAGTGAGGACGCAACCACCCATTTAGTTTACAAGGATTATGAGCCTGACAGTCAGGCCTGTGAGAATTTATCAGAGAATAAATACCTTATGAAGAGCAGTAAAATCCAGATAGTCAATAGAACGTTTAAAAACAAAAGAGACCTGAAGTTGGTTAGATTTGAGTGGTTCTTGCAATGTATCCTCAATGGAAGAAAAGAAGAAGAGGACCACTATGTTATGGACATTGCTAAATTGTTTGCTAAGTAATAAAAATACCTCTCATAACTTCTTATGAAGTTACTTTCCCTTCAAGCAATAGTGAGCATTATTAATTTTTAGTTATACAGTACTTTAGTTCGATTAGCTTTCTTTATTAATCAGACATATTAAGAGGACCTTACCTCAGATCAGAGATAAAATTACGACTATCATGACTCATAAGAAACAAGAGCTCAATGCTCTTGGGGAAGACCTAGACTTTGAAGGCCCAAAGGGAGCCAAATCTGTATTGCTGAGCATTATCAGCAAGTACACAACCACCTTCAATAACTACATTGATGGTGACTTTGTGAAGCATAGCTCAGATCTACTTCTGGGAGGAAGTAGGATCAATTATATTTTAGTGTTACTTTATTCAATGCCTTAGATAGTTTGCGGGGTTTTGGGGTTTTGGGGTTTTGGGGTTTTGGGG